TGCCCTTGATGGGCTTTGAACCCATGAGCTAGAAATTATTTGATTGCTAGTCTGACATGTTAACCACTCAACCATATTTTGCGTTCTAGTGTCAAGATACTGGCAGGGAAATAATAAATTCAAGCAAATGGAAATCATATACATGTACTTGTAAATCAAAAGGTTTATGTAAAATAGTAATCAAAACATATTTTATGTATATCATAAATTAAAGGCAAAGAGAACTATTGATAAGGTGAAAGTGAATTATTTAAGAAATTGTACAAAAAGGGGTATTTGATAAAATTGGTCTCACAAATTTTAACCATGGAAGTTTCATTGAAATGTTTAAGCTCAAACAAAATTATAATATTTGTCATCAGTTTTGAATTACTGAGGGTCCTTCTAGGCTAGAAGGTAAAGTCACTGGTGTTAGACACAGTCCCTGTATGGCTGTGGTTTAATATTCCTCCAGGGACAGAGATGTGGGCAAGCCATCCATTGAGCCATTGAAAGATTGGTGTTTCTACTATTGTGCATTTTCATGCTTGAAATAATTAAGAAATTTCATAAGTAATTACATGTATATGTGTGATACAAAATTTTGAAAAATTTTCTTTTCATTCTAAGAATCGGACTCCTCTGACAGTAGAGCAGATGTATGAAGATTTCAGTCAAGACCATGCTAAGAAAACAGTAACCATGGAAGCCCATCCACATCTACCGGGACCACCAATGGCTTCAGTACATCCCTGCAGGTAAGAAATAAATTTTGTGTCTGGGTTTGGAAGGGGCAATTGACTGATACCATTGCTGATTACGTTTTCAACTTTCAGTTTGATTTTTCAGTAACTTAGCACCTTGTTTATTGTCAGCAATCAAAGAATTTTGTAGATATGCAGTTAAATATCAGTCATTGATATTAAATATACACACAGTGTGCATATGAAAAACTGTTTGAACTTAATGGGATACAGTTCATGTATGTATGAAAACCAAATATAAAAAATAACTGCAGTATCTTATATGATGCAATTATCATTGTCGGAACAAGTTGAAAATTCTTTATTCAAATCCTACTCATTTTGGGACAGCACTTCCCTATTTTTTCAAGGAGAAGTATGAAAAAAATATAAAAAAAAAATAGTAGAAATTTTTCAGTGAAACATGAACTATGAAAAAATACTAAGATAATATGTACTGCTCATATTAGCTCTTTATTATTTTATTTTTAAACTGTCACTATGTTATTTTTAGACATGCAGATGTGATGAAGAAGATAATAGAAATGGTGGCCGAGGGAGGTGGTGATCTAGGTGTTCATATGTATCCTTTATAAATACATGTTTTTCTTGCATATCAGACAGGATTATCTCCCGTTAACAACGGTGCTTTAAAACCCTTTCTTGCATATCAGACTGACGTTTCCGTGAGTTTTACCCATGCCGGAAATTTCATCTGGCATGGGGGGTGCCAGATGAGTCGCGTGCTGTACAATAGCACGCTTAGGATGTCATTTTACCGCTATGAATGAAGTTGTAATTCATACACTGTTGTAAGAAAATAGTTACGGTTGTAATGATATAAATTTTTATTGAAATTAAAGATAAAGAATTAAAAATATAATGGAATATGGTAGAATATGCAAGAAAAAATATCTGACATATGTCATGGGCGGGTCACCTCGGGACGGATATTACGATCCGAACTGCAAAATTTGACAGATATTATTAGTCTTAAATCCCCCATGAAAGAAAAGTTGCATGTTTTAAATGATGTCATTGCCACGGGCCTTTTATGAATTAATTGCGTTCTAAGGATGATGTCCTTTTACGGTTATGAATGAAGTTTGTAAGTTCATATGCAACCATAAGAAGAAAGTGTGTAATGCAGAGCCTCATAATCGCCGTAAACAGTTACCCTGGAGCTAGATATTCCAGTCTGTACCGACAGCCAGTGTAAGATTCTTATAATCTTTAACATGATTATTTCGGAAACTAGAAAACTCTTGTAACATGCCTGAATAATGTATGAAACATTAACTTGATGCAAACTTACATTATAGAAAAATGTCATTGAAGACATAGTTTTATTTATTTAGGGTGTTAATGTATTTTTGAAAAATACAATTAACACCCTAAATAAATAAAACTAGGTCTTAGTGTCAAGTGTGTAGGGGAGAGGGTGTAGGGAGGGAGGGTAAGTGATATGGCTATATATTATATTGTTTTATTTTTCTAACAAAATTAACATCAACACATTATATCCTTAACTGTTTATTCAGGTATTTAATGATATTCTTGAAGTTCGTTCAAGCTGTAATTCCGACCATAGAATACGACTACACACGCCATTTTAACTTGTGATGCACCTTAACTACCACGCAATATATACTTATACTTGTTCATATAATATTATCTCTGATGTTTTTATGTAAACTGACAAAAATAAATCATCCTTCTTGAGATTCAGTTTCAATTTCTCCTCTTCGTTTTTGAACAGTGATGATTTACTTGTTTTCTGTCTCAAGAATCGGCTTTGGTATCTGGTATTCTTGAAAAATGGTGGAGACAAAAATTTTAAATACAGTTGTGCTACTTTATATTCATGTGAATTAATACTTTACTAATTCCAATTTGAGGAAATTATTTTGCTATGTGCAAATCGTGTGAAAATGTATTCCAAAAAAAAGGAAATCAACCTCCGAGATTTCATATTTCTTAGAAATATAAATGAATGTATGTAACAATGTTTCATTGTATTAATGTTTGCAATAGCTGCTTTGATTGGGGGGGATGATAAATTTGATTAAACCTTATTGCATAATTACTACTCATGCTGAAAAAGTATTGAAATGTCTTTAGATTGTGCTTACTGTTACTTGTGTGGAAAAGTACTCTAAATTGGATCAACCAGCAGTAGATTGCTTGTTATTGTTGTTATAAATGTGAAAAATGTACTGAGAAAATAATTTAACCCACCTAACATTTCAATGTGCTATATATAACACAGGAAATAGTGACAGGATAAAAATAACACCATAATTTTATTTCTGCTTACTCTGTAACTCAAGTGGAAAAATACCAAACAAAGATTACTACAACTGAAATACGGAAAAATACTAAAAATAAATGACAAGAACTTCAAGAACATTCCATTGTGTTATATGCTACTCAAGTTGGAAAATGTTGACACAAATTAACAATCACTAAAATGGATGGTGAAAATTTCTGTGATTAATAAATGTAGAAATTTCTTGGATCTTTTACGAAATTGTTGTCATGATTTAACAATTGAATGATTTTGTATTTTTTATCCATACCCTGCTGGGACTGAAAGTGTTTAGACTTTGCCACAAGTATAGAACCTTCACATCAGTGTAATCTGATCAGGCTCTATAATGTTGGTTGCCCACTTTTTGTATTTTGACACTGAAATCCCTTCAAGTTGGAATGGACTGTACCATATTCAAAACAGTTCAAATATATTACACAAATTCATCAGGTTATGGGTTAAATGCATTGGTACATGTATATGTTTTTTTTTGAAAAATGGATAAACATAAGAAATAGTGTTGACATTTCAGTGAAATTGTTACTTTAATATAAATAATTAATTATATGTGTATAGCTTTAATGGTAAGCACTGTTCTGAAGCATTTTAATTGTTGGTGAATTATTATCTTTTATGTTGCGCTTGGCCCATCATGTAATGCCAAGCTTTGATTAAAAGATATTTTCAGATTTTTCTTAGTTATTTTTTGAGGATTGGGGATATCCCACATTGTAAATTTAAAGGATATTATAAAGCTTTCAGGATAAACAGACAATGAATCTTGATATCTTACATTATTATTTTACTTCAAATTGACCGTCCAAAGTGAAAAATTTCATTTTTTATGTTTGGCCAGTAATTAAGAATATTACTTTTTAAAAATGATATTTGGTACAAATTCTCACTGTTGGTGAATGAGAAGATCAAAATACTGAGCTAAAACTAGTGATGCAAGTAGGCAGTAGAAGTAATAGCTTACATTTAATGAATAGTCTAATTTAAATAAACATCAATATTTTGATCTTCTCATTCACTAACAGTGAGGATTTGTACAATATATGGAGAGCTGTCCTATTCAATCTAGCATGCGGGCCAAGATTTTACTTTAAAGTTCTTATGCATAAAATATTTTTTAATTTAACTTCTTTATTTATTTGTGGAATTTCAACTTCAGACCTCAAATATATGTTTTTTATCATTTCCCTACATCATAATTTATAAGACAAGGTTCATTACTCTAGCACATATACTTCCAGAATGATTTCCCCTTTAAAATTACAAATTTTCATAGATTTATTAATCTTATCAACTTAGTTATATACCAGCATTTCTAACATCAGACCAACTGAAATATATGGTAATCAGACTGCTGAAATATATTGTAATAAGTTCTGCCAAGATCTTGTTAAAACACCAGAATAGGTTGAATCAATCCAAAGGAAATAATTAGTGAGCAGCAACGTTGTATTTGAATGACATAAAAGAATAAAAGCAATACTCATCAGAGTTGTGGCACAATATGACCAGCAAATTGTTTTAAATAATCGAACAAAAAGTTTTATCAACATTGTATTCAGTGCCAGGGACATTGGGATGCTTTTCCAGTTAAGGACAACATCTACAAATGTTTTAAAAATAATCATCAACTAATGGATAAAAAATGACATCCTATTGTGACCTAATGAAAACCTATTGTGACCTAATGACCGACTTTCATTTAAGGTTTTTTTCCTTTCCTGGTGATGTATGTCAGGTGAGTAATCTAGGGCCGTCATGGCCCTCTTGTTTGAAGTTGCAGAAGTCCATTGATAAAATCGGTGAATGGTCACTGAATTAATTCAAAATTAGAAATGAAGAGTATTTTTTTTATTTATCTATGCTTATATATCGTAGCGATTTAAAGTATCACCTTATGTTAAATAAGTTAAATATTAAAAAAAATTCTTTTCTCAATACGGTAATGGTACGGCTTACCGGATAATTTTCACGGGTGGGAATTACGAAGAACACCGTTTAACATGGTTGACAAGTTGACACAAATCTTTTTGCTGTAAGATATGTAAATACAGGCTGAATTCGAGATGCAAATGTGATTTACGTGTAAGTTTCCAAGTTTTCCTTGATGGAAATTAGCTTTATCATCAGAAAATCGTAAATTACGCAAGGTGACCGGCTGAAACAGGAAGTGTTAAAAACTTGGCAAAAACCACAGACACTTGGGGTATGGACCCCGCCCTTCTCCGCCCCTGAATATTAAAAACTAAAAGTATTGTTTATTACAAGAATAAGTTTTAAATTTGTGCTTATATTAGTATGAGACGGTTAAGTGTCTAACACATGAACAAGTTTGAATAGAATTTCATAACGTTTTAAAAAAGTCAATTTTTTTCCAACGCTTCAATTTCCTGAAGATACCAAGCTTCGAAATGTAAACACAACTGACCTACATATATTTCAGGTATTTATGTTATCGCATGCCATTTATTTCTGGTGTAAATCAGTCGATGCATATATTCCTTTAATGAATAACTGCATGTTATTATCAGATCGTACCTTTCTTCCAAGCTTTGCACATTTAATTATATTTTCATAACTGAGTCACATGCTTCTTTACGAATTCATGACCACTGGAATGTTTCCCGTAAATTACAGCGGGAAAATCGCTGGGAAAAAGAAATTCAATCGCAACTACTCGGCCCTTTCCGTCAGTCTTCTTGATTTGGTTTCTGTACTGATTAGGGGAAGTAACCGCTGCGGGGTTTTGGTTCTCGGCATGAAAATGAAAGCGCAAAACAGTGCCGAAACTCATTCCAGTCATCTCACATCAAAGGAAAGCGTACGTTGTTATCTTCATGAAATTATGATATTCTAGGGACTTTTTTAAACGTGGTTAAAATAGCGGAAAACATGTTTTATGTTCAAGACATGTGACCAGGTCGTAATAATATGCAAAAATATTTTGACGTACGGTTTGCACGATAAAAATAGGCATGGTGTATACAAGTGCGGATCAAGAAGGGGAGCCACGCACATAACCCCAAGCGTCTGTGGCAAAAACAAACTAGAGCCTAGACTTTTCATATAGGATTTAATTCATCATTATTCTTCTTTATAAAAACATGTAATAAATATAATAATAATAGAAAAACAAGGCTTATGTCCTGTAGAGTATTAAACCACTACTTCTACCACCAGGTACTAGCAGCCACTGCAGCAATCCATTTTTCAGACAGTTTTGTTCACAGTCTACAGTGAAGTGATTATAGTTATAGTCCACTTTTAAAAACAGGTCCAATATTGTAAATTCAATTAAACTTAGGGGCGTCCGTGGTCAAGTGGTTTCAAACCACTTGCCCCTCACCGCTTGGGTTTCAAATCCTGACAGTGACTTTGGATTCTTTATGTGAGATAGCTATCTAGCTAGCTTACGGAACGTCGGTGGTTCTACTCAGGTACCCGTTTGTGCCTGAAATAATGCACGGAAGGGCACGGGAGGTCTTCCTCCACCAGTAAAGCTGGAACTTTGCCATATGACCCATACTGATACTCGCTGTGTCGGTGTGAAGTAAACCCCAATCAAACAAACAAAATTCTACTAATGATGTAACTGAAAATATCTGGGAATCAAATATCTAACATTCATATGACAATTTTTTGTTCATTAATCATTAACCTTTTACAGACCAATTGCATCAATTATATTGACCTTTGGTCTGTAAAAGGTACTAAGCTCACTAAAATGGTCAAATTGACAAATGAGAAATTGAAATTGGCTTAAGAAAACTTTACTGATTATCATTATTTAAAGATAGTTACATTTTTGTAATTCTTTAGCAATTGGCTCAGTTAAATACAGGTACAGAAGGCAAGGCAAATTTTCTGCATTAAATTCAAAAGCTGTTTAAGACAAATGACTGCCAACACAATCATAATTTGTACTCCTAAGAAAGGGCTGATGAAGAATCAAATAACAGCATTAAGGATGTGACATATTCATTTAACTTTCTTTTTAGTGTCATTCATCCTAGAAATCAAGCATGCCCCAAGCTTTTCACAAACATCATAGCTCTTTGGTATTTCATGTTTGCTAATAATTCAGTATTTAAAATGTGATTTAAAATTTGCTTTCTTTGTATTTCTCAGGATGGTAATTATGGAGATAGAGGTTCAGAAATGTGGGGTGAAATTTGATCCGCCAGCGATAATGATTGTATACAGTGACAATGGATCTAAGAAACACAGACAAAGGACGATGCCATTAAGAGATTTCACAAAAGATTCAAACACTGAGAAAGCGACTGATGATTTAATTGCCCATCCGCGTCATGGGAAATATGTTACTAAAATTCCAAAAGTTCAGTTGATGAGACTTATTACTATAATTAGAGACAAATTGAATGGTATGTCACTAGAGGCCAGCCTAGCAAGAAATGATGCCTTGGATAAAATAGATCCGGAGGAAAACTTGAACACAGTGGATGAGGAGACTTTAAAACGAAAAAAAGCTGCTATGGAGCGAACTTTTGAGAAACATCAGGTGAAACCAAATGATCCAAACTTCAAATACGATGTTGATGTAGAGTTTGACGAGCAAGATGTGATAGAGTCTGGATGGGATTCTGGAGAGGATGGATCTGATTTAGAATTTTAACGTGGATCTGTTTTAAGAAGTGGATAAAAAGTGACCGTGGTGATGTTACATGTAGTAACAGTTACTCTGATAGCCTGTATACCACAGAAAATTGTAAATAAAAAGCAAAACAAAAAGCTTTTTTAAGGGAAAGGAATTAAATAATGGGAAACTTTGTCTAAGTTAGGAATTATTTAGAATAAGAAACTTGGCTTCATCTATGTAAAAGCAAAGATCACATTTTACATTAATCAAAAGTTTTTTAAAATGACATTTTTCTCAATGTTTACAAGTCTGATCAATGTACAATTTTTTTATAAAACAGACTTCAGAATATCATTTGTTTCGTGGGGCTAAGAGCCCACTTAAGTCAATGCTATATATTATTAGATTATCATAACAGTTATACAAAGCTTAACATTAACATCTTTAACATTCAGTCACGAAGCTCCTTTTTTCTAACATTTATGACTAGTTTTGCTCAGACTGGCTTTGCTTTAAATTTTTAAATTGCTACAGTGACCAAATACTTTATAAATTAAATACAGATGCTGTACTTTAAAGAGACTCCATTGAGGTCCTTCGACTTGAAGTGACTGGAAATAATTTTTCAAGATTAATGTTCCATTATATGTAATTTTAGACCAATAACTTGCATAGAATAATTATTCAAATTGTGAAAAATGACAAAAAAAGTGTTGCAGTGCTTTTCATTCAAAATGTGCTAAGAATAGCACAAAAATGTTAATTATATTTTGGATATTTTCTGTTTTAAGTGCCCCAGCTGATCTTTATAAGATTTTTTTTTATCATATGTGTATAGTCTTTAGACCTCAGTGGAGTTCCTTCAATTGCAAAGAACAGTCTTTTAAACCTACAGAAGCCTTTCCCTTTCTGTTCTTGTTTTTATTTTCTTAATTTTTTATGAGCATACTGCGAATTCACTTATATTCGTGGGCATGAAATTTCGTGGTTTTATCAAAAAGGGGCATTTTCGTGGGTTCTTAAATTTGTGGATTTTCAATTGCAAAGAACAGTCTTTTAAACCTACAGAAGCCTTTCCCTTTTCTGTTCTTGTTTAATTTTCTTAATTTTTTTATGAGCATACTGCGAATTCACTACTGAAGCCTTTCCCTTTTCTGTTCTTGTTTTTATTTTCTTTCCTTTTATTTTCAAATCTGTAGTTTGATTCTGGTTTGAAGTTTAGGTTTTTTTGGTTTTCTGTTACTTTGGCGACAATGTGGCTAAAACTGCTTTGTTTTGAAGTGAAGATTGAATTTTTTTAATCGAAGTATTTTTGTGATTTTTTTTTGTCAGGGTAAGTTAAAATCCAATTTCTTCCAGATGTTGAAATTGTCTTGTCAAAATTCAATGTCCTGTTTTCAAAGTTTGTTGAGTTGTGTCAAATGTTAAGAAGATTCAAACGGAAGTGTTATTCATCCAGAAAAAAATACAGAAAATATTAACAAGAAACACAGTTTTGTGCAGTTTTAATAGTTTACACTGTTACAACCATGGCAATTGCAAATAAAGCACTGGATTTAAATGTTTGAAGTAGATGATCAATTACATTCTTAAAAGGCCCATTATGCCTATAGAAATGCTATCATTTTTAGCTCGACTATTCGAAGAATATGAGAGCTATTGTAGTCGCCCCGGCGTCGGCGTCGGCGTCAGCGTCCGCGTCGGCGTCTGCGTTGGTTAAAGTTTTTTGTAAAGTCAAATATATCAATCATTACTTGAGATATTCAATTGAAACTTACAATACTTATTTATAGTAACAAGGTACATCAGATTGACAAGTTGGATAACTCTGCCTACAATATTGACAGAATTATGCCCCTTTTTAACTTAGAAATTTTGGTTAAAGTTTTTTGTTGTAAAGTCAAATATCTCAATAATTACTTGAGATATTCAATTGAAACTTACAATACTTATTTATAGTAACAAGGTACATCAGATTGACAAGTTAGATAACTCTGCCTACAATATTGACAAAATTATGCCCCTTTTTAACTTAGAAATTTTGGTTAAAGTTTTTTGTAAAGTCAAATATTCTCAATTATTGCTTGAGATATTCAATTGAAACTTACAATACTTATTTATAGTAACAAGGTACGTCAGATTGACAAGTTGGATAACTCTGCCTACAATATTGACAGAATTATGCCCCTTTGGAACTTAGAAATTTTGGTTAAAGTTTTTTTGTAAAGTCAAATATCTCAATTATTGCTTGAGATATTCAATTGAAATTTAATATACGTTTTTATAGTAACAATGTACATCAGTTTGCAAAATTGCATAACTCTGCCTGCAAAATTTAAAGAATTATTTGCCCCTTTGAAACTTAGAAATTTTGGTTAAAGATTAAAGGTCTTCAAAGATATTTACTTGAAACTTTACACATGCTCTTAGGGTCATAATTGGCGGGTCATAATTGTATGTCACTGACCAAGTTCCATAACTCTATCTTGCATTAAGGCTGATTCATATCCCCTTTTCTACTTAGTCTCTTGGTTAATGTTTACATGCAAGTTTTACATATCTCAATAACTATTAAAGATATTTATTCAAAACTTCACATATGCATTTAGGGTCATAATTGTAGGTCACTGACAAAGATCCATAATTCTATCTTGCATTTAGGCTGATTTTTCTCCCCTTTTTCAACTTAGAAATTCATGGTAAAGTTTTGCTTGTAAGCTGTTATCTCAATTACTACTGAAGGGTTTGTGCCTTTTTTTGGGACAATTTTATGCATTCATTATAATAAAGCAGTGATTTACTTGATAAAACATCTTAATTAGAAGCCTTTGTACCTTTTCTGTCAAATTCATGTATTCATAGGTAATTAGTATTATTATACTCAATAAAACAACCTTGTGACAGTACCTCGAATAGTCAAGCCAATACTGTATAATTAGACTCTCTCTAAGGCCTATAACATGAATTTATTAAAAAAAAATTAGACCTTTTGTGATCTTAAAAAATTTAACATTATCAAGGCTCTTTTACTATCAAGCACTTAGAATAGTCGAGCGTGCTGTCCTACCGACAGCTCTTGTTATTTCACAAAAAAACTTTAATTTTTGGTATTGTGTTGCAGATTCTAAAAAGTACTCATCTTTACAACACATTACTGCACATTCAGTGCTACTTTCTTTAGCTTTTGAACAACTAAATCCATTAGTAAAACATTATTCAACACATGTTTGACATTTCTAAACTTTAGTAAAGACTTGAATAAATATAGATTTATAAGGCTTAATGTGCCTTTAAGTAATACCTATATAAGGTAAACATTATTGTAAAGAACATAGAACATGAGCTTTATTTTCTTTTATAAGCTGTAACTTATAAAGTAATCTACAACAATATTTCTATACACAAGACATTGTCAGTAAATTTTGTTGAAGGAAAATTTCCCTTTTATCCATACTTAAGTATTTACTTTAAGATATACTTAAAAAAAGATCTCAATTTTTAAAAGACATACATGTAATAAACGGTAGGCTATATAATCTATCGAGCGGAGATTGACATGGTGGTATTGTTGAGAAAAGCTTTTACAAGAGATATGTGTTTAGTGGACCAATCAAATAAAGAGATGCCTATTGAATGTATTTCAACTTTGATATCGTCTATAGTTAGTTTTGAGTTAAGAAATTTTAGATATATAACTAACAGGAAAAGAAGCAGGATTATCTAGTTAGTTGGAGCTACTATATTGAGGATTGACTGCAAAACTGTAGTAACTTATATAAAATAAAGAAGGACTTACAGCATTTTTGCGATCAAACCTCCATATATACTTTGCATAATAATTTATTTTCATAGCCTGTGTACACATGGGCAATGACTGTGACCTATTTTCACTATTCAGAAATTTAGAAATGTCACGTTTTTACAGGAAGTAGTCTAGAATTAGACTGTTTTAAAACTGGAGGTAGATATGTATACCCAAATAGAGAATAGAATTTTTTAACAGATTTTTTAAGATCTACATGTTGATATATATATTCATACAGGTCTTTTAAACATTAGTAGATAATGATTTTTATCATCCACAGAAAATGTTTTAGAATTAGACGGTAGAGAAAAAGGAAGTAGATCTATGCAAATTTATGAAGGATTGATGTTAGGAAACAGAATTTCAGAATAGTAAATGCAGCAAATTATTAATCAGGGATTATTATGAACACTTTTTGTTCCTATTGTTGTAATGTTCATGTCTGTGATTATGTTTTTTGTCTTTATTGCTTTATTTGTAGAATTTGTATTGTTCCTTATATTGGTGCACGTAGCTAGGATTATTCTTAATTAATTAAGTTACATGTAGATTATCCAGAGGGGTTTGACTCTTTTTTTGCCGTAAACTGAAGGAAAAAAAACATTATTATTTCTCTCTGTCAGTTTATGTCAGTGCCTTGTTTGTTATGATTAAATATAGAAGAAATAAGAGCTTATATTTCATAGGATATTAAAATATTTGTGGATTTGGGATGAGGAAGAAAAACAAATTTAATTTTCTCATCAGTACACAGAGCTTCCATTAGTGGAAGTTTGGGAGTCATTTACTCCTTGATTTTGGCTTGTGACTTCCAAAATCTAATGCTTTTTCTTCTTTGCCTATATAATGTGACTTCCAATGTCAGAGATTTTATGTCTCTGACTTTCAAAAATTTTGAAACTTAATGGAAGCCCTGGTACAAATTTAAATTTACCTGTATTTTAAGCACTGATGAATAATAAGTAGATATATATAACTTCAATACTAGATCTAGGAATTACAGATATCATAGATACGCAAATGATAAAACAAGGTTTTTAAAATGCATAATATTCCTAATTTAACAAATTATGGATTTTGGCTGTTATCACCTTTGGCCAATATTGCATGGTGAAGGTATTGTATGAACCTATGTTTTTACAAACATCATTTCAGTGTAATATTTATAACTTAAATAATGTAAGGAATAAGGACTGAATCTAGTGGTGCAGAAATAGTTTATTTTTATTGTTTACATTAATTGTGGTATATTGTACCAGATATTGGAAAGTTTAGTTGATCTTTATTTAACAAAACACCAATATCATAGGATCACATCTTTACTGGCGCTCCACTATGTTTCGCTTTCTTTACTGGCACTCCACTATGTTTCGCTTAGTACTGCATAGAGTAACAGAGCGAAAATGATGATCTGATTTTGATGAGATTGAAATATGCCAATCCAATGTAAGAAAATTTAATAATATTTATTAATATTCCACTTATATTGATATGTTTTTGTCAAAAATCTTATATTGATAATGTTTATATCAAAACTCTTATATTGATATATTTGTTATAAAGTTAACATGTTTAAGAAATTTCACTAAATTTTTTAAGATTCAGCTTTATGGTAATATTTTTTGATATTTTTAACACACCCCTCTGTAGGATATTAGATTTACACTGCTGTAAGTAGATCAACAGAATGATGTAGATTTCACAATGTGTTCACTGTAATAATCCGTCCCTACAATTCAGAAATTGAATGTAACATGCTTTAGTTAACTTGTATACACGTTATACTGTCTGTGACATGTTTCATGTATATTTTGCAAGTGACTATATTATTGAATAAATTTTTTTTTCTAAGAATGGATTAAGTTGTTTTATTATGAATCTCCCAACTAAAGATTAATTATACTCACCTCTGTTGAAAGAAAAGAAAGAAAAAAATGGTAAAATTTAGTACTTTAACACAGATAAATAAAGTTTCAGCTATTTGCTTGGCATTTTCCGGTTTCACAATTTTATTAAAGTGTCTTTTTTGTCGAATGGCTTTGAGACATTTTCCTGTTGACAATGTATGTGACGGGCCTGGACAGAGTAATCCATCTCTGGTGAAGTAATGGTTATAATCTTCATGGATGACGGAGCAAGGGAGGTAATTTCCATCTGCATTCTCTCGGAACATTGTGGTGCCATCAGACAGAGATCTTATGAAAGGTTGTACATGCAATATACATTATAGATGCAAGCAGAATTCCATACCCAAGAAGGATGGTACATATACGTTAAGTTTCTCAATCCAGGTTCTCACGAAAATCTTTATTAAATCTAAGGGCATTTTTAAGGACCTACGGTAACAAAAAACAATGTAAAATATGTCAAAAACAGAGTTACATCATACAAGAGGGCCATGATGGCCCTGAAGTCGCTCACCTGTATATAGGCCCCCGTAGCGGGGCCAGTTTAAACCCCAGGGCTTTTATTTGAACAAACTTGGTAGACACCCATCAGAAGATGTTTCATGCTAAACATCTAAGGTCTAACTGGTCAAGTTTTTTCTTTACACATATAGTTAAAAACAATGACACACCTGGGGCAGGGCCAGTTTGGACCCAAGGGCTTTTATTTGAACAATCTTTGTAGACACTTACTAGAAAATGTTTCATGCTTAATATCTGAACTCGAGCTAATCGGATTTTTCGAAGAAGATTTTTAAGTTTTTGCTTTACACATATAAGGAAAATCAATGAGCCCCAGGGTGGGGCCAATTTTGACCCCAGGGCTTTTATTTGAACAAACTTTGTAGACACTTACTAGA